CAGAGACAATGTTGCTAAGACCACTGCAGCTCAGCTATAGCTCCATGAGCTAAAGTGACTCCTGCATATTTTATCATTTCCTCTGAGCAGCACAAGCTGCTTTTATTAATGCCTTCAAGTACACTATAAAGAACCATTTATTACATAGTACAAAGAAATCTTGAGCCATATGTGCTGTGAATTTAAGTGGAGTTCTCCATTTTTATCAGTGGGAATTCTGTTCAGAAACTGAACATCCTTTATGATCACACAGTCCACCAGTAGCAGGCAACAAGGGTTTGAAAAGAAATGGAAAAATACTGACTATTCTGAAATTCTAGAAAAAAATTCCCATGCACCCCAGGCTGCAGGAAGCCAGTCAAAACTGAACCTCTGATTCCCTGGAGTTACACATGCAGACATTTAAAGCAAATTCTGTATAAGACATATTGCATACTAATTTCTGTATGAATGAAAACAGAATTAGAAATTAGGAAAAAAAATCAGTAGGCAATATTACAATCTAGTCTTTAGTAGAAAATATGTTTAAATAATGGTTTGGGTTTTGGAAAGCCACATTTTCTTGACATGTAATCTAAAATGTACAGCTTTTTTTTTTTTAAAGTCTCCAAGTACCAGGTGAAATCCATGTTTATTACAAAGTAATAGAGCAAACACTGGACTGCTTCTTCCAAGAATAAACATGTCTTTATCCTCAGTCCCTTTGGTTTTTAACCTGGATATTTTGTAGAAATAGAAGAGTTTGGAACAAAAAGCAGCTGTTCTGTCAGTTCTTATTGAACGCTAAAAATTTAGGTAAATTTCACTACTGAATGACAGAAAACTGCATCCATATTGCTTAGCTCAAGTAACTGGAAACTCAAGTATAAGGGTACCCACATTAAGGCAAAAGTCTCCTTCGTAAAACAAAAAATTTGCCTGGAAATCGTATTTTTTAAACATTTGTGCCTAGTGAATCACATCACAGGAAGGACTTCCACAAAGATTTCAGAAGGGAAGTTTACTGAACAAGGTAGAGGAAACTCAGCTAAACCCTAAAATACCATCTGTCCCCAGGGGAGGAAACTGCAATGTCATTGGCTTGACAAGTCTATAACTGAGGTTAGTAACATTTCAGTTTTCAGAGTTGGTACTGTAGCATCATTGCAGAATTCCAGTCAAGACCTGAGTTTTGCCACGTATATATGTATAGTAAAACAGAGTGAGCCCTAAACAGCTTATAAATGGTGAGATAAAAAGCAGAAACCTAAATAATTGGAACAAAATAGAGTTGTAAGACACACTAATATATATCCATTGATGACCTCAATACTCAGACTGGAAGAAATCACTGACTTTTGTTACTAACACACATTTTGGGAATGTGCTACCCTAACTCTGCTTTCAGCTACTGAAAAGTCACTGGAGTTGAAAACATCCCACTAGTTTCTAGTTCAAAAATAACTCTGAGCATGTCAAAACAGGGTGATATAATTCAAAGAATCACAGAAGTAGAGTACCTATAGCTACTTAAAACAAAAAACCCTGCAGAAAAACCTGCCAGAGGGACAGAGGTTAATTTCCCACAAACGGTTCACATTAGAATTTCACACTGAATTTCAATAGTGAAACTTGTATGTGTGTAGAATGCAACAGATATTTAATGAAGCAAACATCCCCAATAATGTGTTTCTAGAATCACAGTGTACTGATAGCACAAACAGAAGTATTTCAGGTTTGCACTGGTGTTCGGTGGGACAAAAAATCATGAGCAGACAAAACTCAGACACTAAGAACATACCAAGCTCAGAGCATCTAAGCTTTGCTTCATTTGAAGACCTAATAGAAGCAATAATTACCTAAGCCCAGTACAGAGGCAGCTCACAGCCATCACCTGACAAGCACTGAACAGTCATCAGGGAACAATTATTTGGGAACAATAATCAAACCCTAGTTGAACAGCCAAGTTTACATTTCACAAAGTGTCACTGAAGTATTTGTACAGGAAAGCTATGAAAATAAAGCAATGACTTGCTGAGCAGGTGCTGCATTTGAGAGGTCCCAATCACCAGGGATACTTTCTGCTTTTCAGACTGCCTTCAGAAAGAGTTTTTTATGGTTGAACTTTCCCAACGCACCGATTCACTCTCCCAAAAGCACTGACAGACCAACAGACAGAGAGCAGTCTACACACTATAAATAATTTGTGCTGCTGCCTTCAATGCTACAGGAAATTGGAAATCCCAACTCCCAGCTCAACACTGCATCTTCCCAAGAAACAAAAATTATATAAACCCACAATTTTCCCACTAGCAATATGACTAATTATTATAAAGGGATCAATAAACATTCACCTTCCACTGGCACAAGCAAATCTGTGAGAATGGGGATTATAATCTTTTCATATTGCTCGACAGCAGAGACTGATACTATGACCTAATTTACAAGTGTTCACAACCTGTGTACTGCTCCAAAGTGCTTTTTAGGACTTCAGTTTCAATTCTTAATAATCTTTGGTAACATGAGCACAGGTATTTTATGTTTTGTGTTGGCCTGTTCCTCATTATGTGAGCTTACTGTCATCTAATCATTCACCCATTATTTTTTTTACTGTATCTAGGATCATATGCAGTTGGCAGTAAAACACAATTCTGTATGGAAGAAGCAAAATTGGAAGAGAAATGGATGTTAAGTATTTTTACATGAATGACACACAAACTGCAATGTCCTGTCCCACAAAACCAAATCATATGTCAGTAGTGAAGAAACACATCAGTCCTGTTCTGGTATTTATCCTCTCATACTGCATTCCCCTTCCCAGGTTTAGGCTGTCTTTCACTAAACCAAGTTTTCCATGTCATATAATCACATGATTTATTTGCAATCTCTTCCCACTTCAGCATGGAAAACCCACTCCTGTGCTAGCAGTGCAGGTGAGACAGTGTCTGCCTAGAGTTTACAGCTAATAAATCAGGGTAAAATACACATCATTTAAGTATTAAAGGATTGCATTAGTTCTTATTGCCTACATAAACTTGCCACTTAATGATGAGTAATATTCAAACAGTCTTAACTTGACGATATGATGGAGACCAGTTAATTCAATTCTCTGAGTAACATGACTTCATATTCCCAGAAGGCTGAACCTGCTTCCTGCTTGCTGATAAAGATCTAATGTAATTCACAAGAAGCAAAGGCCCACGTTTTAATGATTAAGACTATTAATTACCTTCAGTGAGGCTAACAATAAATTAAAAAAGAAATTCCCAAATGCCAGAGTTTAAAGGAGAGAGTTGCTCAGAATATCCAGCGCCTCTATCCTGAAAGTGTCCCAGCAGCTTTCATGCCAAGAGCCACCCAAGTCCCACCCCAGGAACAGTGACGAGACGTCAGTAAGGGTTCTGGGACAACACAGACAGTGTGGTCAGGCCTTTGTACATAACTGCTCCTGCAGCAGAGCTCCTCTCCCCCAAAACAGGGCCTAGTAATGCTTTTGTTATTCTCTGAGAGCTGCTTAATTGTTGAAAATAACTCCTAGCAAAGCTATTCATTTGCCATTTGAAAGAATTGTAAAATATAAGACATGGCAGCAGCCAGCAGGGAACCCACCAGCCCTCCCTGCTGGAAGCCCACTAACAGCTGTTGTGGGACAGCAGCTCCTTTTCTCCTTCTCCCCCATGGCTAACACTAGTGAGGGCTTGTTCCCTGAGGCTCCCCACAGCAGCACCAGCAGAGACACCCTTCAGCTTCACAGCCTGCTGCCAGCACAAAAGGCATCAACAGCTGAACTCCTGCAGACCTACACCCTGTTACAAACACATCTGCTTCCCCAGCCATCCTGCTCCTACGCATTTTTTCAGCTTCCCAAGCTCCTTTCCTCCTCTGCCTTCTCTACCCAGATCCCTCTATCCCCCATAAGTGACAGTAGCAAGCAAACAAAGGGCCATTCAGCATATCACCAGGGCTAAAAGGAACTCAACTGCTATGCAAGAATGCTCAATCGTTTTTTCCACTCTTATTTTTAAAGGCTGTTTTCCAGAAAGTGCATAACACACACTCCAAGTGTCATTTGCTAGTTGGTTCTTCTGCACATTAAACTGCCAGGACTGTGATAAAAGTAGTATAACATTTGGGGGAGAAAATCCACCAGTAAATAATTCCTAGAGTAGGAATTTCAGGTAGTTGGTGAGGACATAGCATAGAAAACACTTTATTTATGATTCACAAAATCTGTTATTGTTTCCAGATAACATAAGATCAAAAAATAAAATCCAATCATTTAAAGTTGACAAAAATCTAGACGCTTGGATTATTTTCTTGCAAGCATTCGCATTTATCGTATATAATCACATATGCTTATACAGCCACTGAAAATAAAACATTCCCTCCATGACTTCAAACTAGCTCTTTCTCGAGCATACAAGAGACACCATAAATTGGATTAAAGTAAACCTACACACCCTTGGAACCTGTATGTCAAACTTACAAAGTTTAAGAAACTTAGTTCTCTGAGGACTAGAACGCCAGTACATTATAAAACTTTTTCCATGGGAGCCATTTATGTGAAAACAAACAAAAGATTAAATTTAAAGCTGACATAAAAAGAAAAACATGGAATGAAGTTCATTCCTGGGGTTATTCCGTTCAGGTCAACTTGTTTTCTTGGGTTACACCACAGGTTACACCACAGGTCAACCTGTCCCATGATCTGTAGAAATATTGTCATGATTCATCACAGTAAAAGAAAACACGAAAGCTTATTTAATAAAAGAATCAAATTAACTAGATGAACTAGGAAACAACAGTCAGAAAGATTTCAAATTAAAAGCATACTTTCCAGCAGCATTAAATAAATTCAATTTTCTTAAATGCGTTTTGATTTTAAGTGCTCAAAGCAAATTTATTTTGTCGAATTAGTGTAAGATGCGAACAAGAATGAGCTGTTATAATGCCAATATTACCTTAGTCAAGCAGATTAACTCTCGCTAATTATTAAATTACACATCTGGCCTGCTGCAGTTCTAATTAGCTATTTGGAAGTGTTCAGAGCGATAGCCGAATATTCGCTGTGCGTAAGGATCGCTGTCCGCTGCCACTTTCTGTCCTGTGTAGTGGTGATAGCTCTCCGGGTGGAAGTGCTCACAGTGCAGGCTAATCCATTCTCTCTCAGTACTGTACCTCTCTGCTTCAGCAAGTATCCTGGTGAGAGCCATGATGTAACTCAGAGCCATCTGAAGGGTCTCATACTTGGACAGCTTCTTATCTTGACCCCACTGCGGAACGACCTTTCTCAGGCGATCGAAGGCCGTGTTCAGCCCCTGCATGCGTCTCCTCTCCCGGGCATTGGCAGCCAGTCTCCTCTTGGCAGCATTCTCCATTCTCTCTGAACTGCACTTCACAACGCAGCCTGCCCCACCTCTGCACTGGGGGTCTGATCCCACGCTGGAGTCCAAGGGATTGGCTTTACAGGTTTTCATACTTGATGCAGCTTCAGTTTCACACACACAAAGATTACTTTGCAAAAATGATGTATCTTAAAAAGTGGTAAGGAAAGCACTCGTCCCTGTGCACCTCTTCAATCTGTTTCCAGAAACCAGCGATGCAATGTTTTTCTTAGCTTCTGAAAAGAATAAAATAAAATAAAATAAAATAAA